TTTTTTTTTTTTTTTTTTTTTTTTTTTTTTTTTTTTTTTTTTTTTTTTTTTTTTTGTACAATTTAAGAAATTATATGAATAAATATATATATGTATATATTTATATATTTAATATTTAAATATTTATATTTTTAAAAAATTAAAATATTTAATATAATAAAACCTTAATAACAATATAATATATATATTTTTATATGAATAAATACACTACCCGAAGATATGCACTATTTTATTTTAATATATGTTTAATTATTTTTAATTTTATTATGTGTTATTATGCTTTATTTTATTACCTTTAATTTTATCTCATTTCTCTCTTTTTTTTTAGATGAATGATAAATGTAATAAAACAATTTGATCATTATAAATGTGAATTCTTATTTTTACTTTACATATTTTATTGCAATGAAAAAAATTTTTCTTTTAGTTTTTATGTTTTTCATATTAAACTTGTTTATTAAAAAAAATCTTAAAAATCAATTACTAATATTTCTACATAATTTTCACATTAGTAAATTATTTTAGACATTAGGAAAAATAAAAAAGAAACATATATTATTTATAAAATAATTTTATAATATATTATTACCTTCTTTAGTAATTTTTAATTCATTAAAAAAAAAAAAAAAAAACAGATATAATTATATAATTACTATATGCGTTTTTTTTTCTTCAAATTTAATTACGAATTCTTAAATATATATATTTAAAATATTATCACAAAAAAAGTTAATGTAAGAAGAAAGTTCGTATTTATATTATTTTTAATAAAATCAACGTAAATATTTTTAAATATCTTGTTATAAAAAAGGGAAACCATTATTAATATTTTTTTTATTTTATTTTTGATTTTTAAGTAAGTAAAAGAAAAAAATTAAAAAATAATTATTTTATTTTTAATTTGTTTTAAATACTGAATTTCTATACAGCTTTTTCTAATTTACAATAAATTTTTTATATTTTAAACATTTTCAAAAAAAAATAGAAAAAAAAGTCATGTGTAATTTAAAATTTTAAAATGACAAAAACAAATATATTAGATAATGATGTAGAATTTTTAGATAGAGATAACATAAAAAATAGTGATTCTAAAGAACATAGATTTTCAAATAAAAGAAGAGTAATAGAAGAATATAATAAAGAAAATGACGAAAATGAATTTATTAGAAACTTAAAAAAAATGAATCAAAATAGCAATAATAAAGAGAGCAATAAACTATGTCAATTTATTATAAATTATTATGAATGGGATGAAATCCCAACAATGAATAATTTGCCATATGGTCTAATTAACAAAAAAAATTATTTAAAATTAAAAAATTATAATAAAAATACCAATTTAAATTCAATTGATAGTAATATTAACTTTGTTAATAAAAATTCAATTAAAAATATAGAAAGTGATAATTTGAATACATTTAATAAGCAAACAGTACTAAATAATATTTCGAGTAGTTCATTAAATAATCATTATAAAAATAATATTGATGAAAATATAGAACCGAAACATAAAAATTTGTCTGAAAAAGAAAACTTTCATTATTTTTCATCATCAATTATATATGAAGACATAAAAGAATATTTTTTTAAAACAAAATCAAATATAACAAAAATTAATTCTACATATATTACTAACAAAAATAATGATAAAAAAAATATAATAAATAATGAAAATAATTTAGAATCAATATATGTGAATAAATCAAAAATTAATATTAAAAAAGAAGATTCTATATGTGAATATGAAAATAACATGAAAGATAAAAATAATATAGAAAATAAGAGCCAAGAAAAAAATAAAGATGAATTAGAAAATAAAAATGATGTAAAAAGTGAAGAAGAAATAAATTGGATGAATGATTTTATATCTTTAACAAATATTCAAATTTTAGCTAAAAATACAAACAAATTTAATGAATGGAATAACTTAACAGTTATCATACCAAATATAATAAATTTCTGCTGTAGTCCTCGATCTTGTATTTGTAAAAATAGTTTTTTAACAATTAAATATATTTGCACAAGTTTAAAATATGATAAAATTAACTTGTGTAAATTTTTTGTTAGTATTTTTCCTTCCATAATAAAAAGATTAGATATAAAAAATAACTTTTTAAACAGTTGTGCAACTAAATCAATTGAAGAATTTATGATACATAGTAATAGCGTTAATAATTATGAAATGCTAAGATTGATTTGTTCTCACTCAAAAAATAAGAATTCTTCTATAACTAAAAAGATGTCTTATTTTGTTTACTTATTTTTAAAAAATTTACCTAAAAGTGATTTGATGAATTTTAGTTTAAGTGATTTTGCAGAGCCTTTTTTAAATTTCATAAATGCTAAATTAGAAGACACCAAAAAATTCATAAAACAGGCTTTTACCTTATTTTTAGAATTTCAAAATGAAGATTATATAATAGAAAATTTAAAAAAAGGAATTAAACATAAAGAAAATGTGGTTATCGTTGAAAAACAAATAAGGAATTTATTAAAATGCAATAATTGTGAATCATTAAAAAAAAAATACGCTACTTTTCATGAATTTAAAAATATGAACAAATTAAAAAATCTTAATAAGACTTCATCATTTATATTTTAATTATTATATAAAAAAAAAAAAACATCTCATATAAAAAAATAAGGTAAAATGTTTTATTTTCCTAATTTTGAATTTTAAAATTATAAATAATATTGCTAAATTTCTATTCTTTTTTTTTTTTTTTTTAGTGCAATATTTTTTTGTATATCATTGATATTTCTATTTTAAAATACAGTTCATACATTTTATTTCCATTTCAACGTTTTATTTAAAATTCATGTTTTCATTATTTCTATATATAAATGATATAAAAAAAATGATTCATTTTATTAAAAAGTTATGTCCTTTTTTTCTTTTTATCTAATATATATGCATCTATATTTGAAAAATTAAATATGCATATATATTTATTTTTCTTATTTCATAGAATAAATGTCAAAAAAAAAATATTGCTAAAATTAAAAAAAATTGAGTTTTAATATTTAATAGAAAAAGAAAAAAAAAAAAAAATAAAATAACAAGTTCTATAAATATTCTTAATGATAACTAAAATATGTTACAAAAGTTTTACAAATATTTTGTCAATCATGGATTTGAAATTTTTTTTTTTTTTTTTTTTTTTTTTTGCTTTATTAAATAATTTTAAGTGAACTTTAAATTTTTTGAATTTTGTAAATATGTATATATATATATATATTTAATTTACAATATCCTAATGAAATACTATAAATAAAACTTTGAAAAAAAACTTCTTTAATCGTTGTGTGAATTTATCATTTTTCTATTTAAAATATTATTTGAGCTATTATTAAAAACTTTTTATATGCATAAAAGTGTCGGTATTTTAAATTAAAAATAAAAAAAAAATATAATATACATAGATATGGTTAATAAATATATATTTGTATAAATGTGTTTTTATAATAAATAAAAAAAAAAATGTGTAGCACCTACTTTTTTTCTATTTATGTGGCAAATATTTTTTATTAAAACGTCATTTTAAATAAAAATAAAAATTATAAAAAATATTTGAAGGTATCATTTATTGTATGTTATTCTAACATTTTTTTTACATTATTTAATTTTTATATTAAGTTTTTTATATTTTTTTTAAATAACAAATGTACTCTTTTTTTTTTTTATTTTTTTAAATTTTTGAGAAAAAGCGCCATTAAGATATTTGAAAAACTATTGTAAAGATAAAAATATATGTTATAAAAGATAAAGGATCTACTATTACATATAGAAAAATATAAAAAAAATTAAACTATTCATATATTTACATTATATATATATATATGTGAAAGTATATATATTTATTCTCATTTATTTTTTATTCTATGAAAACAAAAATCCTACTGAATAACTTTGAGTATAATTGTAATAAAAAAATCACGTGATTAAAAATAAATAGGATATTAATAAATATTAAAAACAAAATATAAAATTATTGTTATACTTTTTTTTTTTTTTTTTTTTTTTTTTTTTTTTTTCTTTTAACTATATTGTATTATTTACTTTTTTTTTTTTTATATTTTATTTTATAATTTTATCATATCCGCATATGAATATATAATTAAAAGAAAAATCATGAATTTAAAAGAAAACAATAAAGTTTTACGTTTATTAATTCGAACGGTAGGAAGATTGTCAAATTTTTTTGATAAAAATGAAACATGGAAATGTTTTTTATCAAGTATTTATAGATATGAAAATGAAAAATGTGAAAGATATAATGAGTTTTTAAAATATTATTTAAATAATAATATCCACTACTGTCCCATTAAATCAAATAAAAAAAAGTTGAAAAGTGAATTAATTTATTTTTTGAGAAACAATATAAATAATGATGTTTTTAATATTGGTTTCACAGCTATTCGGCATTTAAGTAGAATAAAAAAATCTATATTAACAATATCAAATGAAAATAACGATTTAGAACTTAAAAATACAAAATTATTGCAAGATCGTAAAATATGGAATTCTGAAGAAGAAAAAATTTTTTTTAAAAATAATATTCGCATGATAAATTTTAATACATTTAATGAAAGGGGGAAAGAAAAAGAGAATGAACAAGATATAGAAAATGAAAAGGAAAATGAAAATAAAAAGAAGCTTTCTGTGTTAAAAAAAAATATAAATAGAAAAACTAACAAAAATAATTCTGAAAATATAGAAGAATTTAATTCAGACAAATTAAAATATGACGAAAATAATGACAGTATAACTAATAAAGATGCCTTAGAAAATGATATTAATAATACAAAGAAAAATTTTTCAAAAAATAATATAAGTAATTCTGAATATAATTATAATAATCAGATGAAAAACAATAAAAATAATGTTTTAAAAAGAATAAATTATAAAAATGAAATTAAAAAAGGAACCATATTGATTGCTCATCCATTAACATCTAGTACATTATGGAATAAATCTGTTATTTTAATTACGCAAAAGGAAAAAAATAATTTAGTATGTGGTTTAATTTTAAATAAACATCCATTATATAATAATTACATGGGAATTTCTAATGATAGAGAAATTATTAAAATATTAAATAAGTTGTATTTTAAAAATAGAAAGTTTATTAATGAAATATCTGAAAATTATATGTCAAATGAGAAGAAAGATAATATTAAAGCGTTTAAAGAATTAGATAGAAAGCAAGAAGAATATATAGATGATAAAGAAATTACAGAAACAAAAAAAACTTTTGAAGAAAACAATACATTACATAATTTAAAAACAGATAAAATGAATATAATTGACATTGAAAAAATTGATGATAATAATGATATAGAAAATGTAAAAAATGTAAAAAGCATCGTTAAAAATACTGATGATGAAAAAAATACTAATACTACCAAAATACCTATTAGCTTAAAAAATAATGAAAAAAGAGAAACATACTTAGAAAAAAAATTTGAATTAGAAAATAAAAAAAACCTGAAATCAGATGATCAAAATATTAGTCAAGATGATTTTCCAACATTAAAAGATTTACAAGAAATGTTTTTAAGAATACAATTTCGTAGCTCTTCTAAACATTATATGAATAAGAAAATCAAAAAGAAAAATAACTTTTTTATAATGATGGATGAACATCTTTTAGATATAATTACTCATTATATAATAAAATTAAATAAGGTTCCTCTTTATCTACGTTTTTTACCTTCATATAATATTGGTTCAATGACAGATATAAAGAGTGAAATTAAAAAGCTACAGTTTTTAAATGAGTTTTACAAAATATACTTTGAAAAATATAACAAATGGAAAGTTGTAATAATAAATAATCGTATACATATTTTTGATAAAGAAAAAAATAAAACCAAATTAGACAAAATTCCGAAGAAAGCAGAATTAGTGGATAGCAATTCTAATGAAGAAAAGAAATTAAGCGAAGAAGAAAAAGAATTAATTCACAGAAAAATTCAAAAATTTAAAGAAACCAATAAAATGGATGATGAGGAAAATACTTATGAAAAAGAAAACAAAGGCATATCAGGAGAAAGTGAAGATACAATTATCAAAGAGGAATTAGACGATGATAATGAAGAGAATTGTTATGATGATGATGATGATGAAAGTTATGAAGATGAAGATGAAAATTGCAAAAATGAAGAAGACGAAGAAACTTTCGAAAATGAAGAGGACGAAGATAGTTCAGAAAATTTTGAAGAATATACATCAAAAAAAAAAGGAAATACACAAGATGAGATAGAAAATTTAGAAATGTTAAAAAAAAAATCAAAAAAAAATAAATCATCATATCTAAGTAAAATAGATATAAATTCTATAAACAAAAATTATTTTATGAAAAATCCAGTTTATTTATTCTGGTTAGGAGGCCCATTACCAGGATTAACAATTTTACACAATATGAAAAAATTTTCAAAAAATATTGTAATAAATGATTTAATATATGAAGGTTATAATGAAAATGTTAATATGAATAATATTGATCAACATGATTGTGATGTAATGTATCAAAAAAATAATTTATTAAAGGATTCTTATGATGAAGAAAAAAGTAAAATCCATTCATCGAAAGAAAGTAAATCAAATATCTTAAAAAGTGATCTTAATCAAGATAAGAATAATATGAATGAAGATAATAATTTAAATAATCTAAAGAATATGAGTTGCTTAAATAATGTAAATGATAATAACGATCCAGAAAAAAAATTGATAAAAAGATTTATTGGGAAAGCTACTTGGGATTTAAACCAATTAATAGAAGAATTAAATAATGATTACTGGATAGCTATAAATTGTGACAATAAAGAATTATTATCAAAAATTATTTTTTATTCAAGTGATTCCGACAATAATAATAATAATAGTAATAATAATACTTTATCTAATGTTTATAATTCATATAAAGGAGAACATTTATGGGAAAAAATATTGGCATCCTTAAATAATGATTATGAAGAAATTTCAAAAATTCCACAAAAAGTTATAGATAATTTTTTAAAAGATTTCAAAAGTATGGAAAATGAATAATAAAAAAAAAACAATTCATTAATATATGGAAAAATGAAAAAAAAAAAAGTTATATTTCTTAAATACCTGTATCCTTGAAATTTTATGTATTTATTTGCAATTTATTTATAAAAATTTATATGAAATATAAAAAGAAAAATATATATAATTAAAATTTTTAATTTACATGAATACTTTGCTCATAGATTTTATTTTTTGTTATACTGAAAATATAAGTAGTGTTGATTAACAAGATTTATACATAATATTTTTGCTTTATTATATATATTATATTTATTAATTTTACTTTTTTTTTTTTTTCTTTTTATATAAAGAGAATTCATTATATATATATATATATATCATAAAAATTAGCTATTAATAATATATTTGTTACTATATTAGTTTTCCTATTATTACAAATTTTTCTTATTTTATTTTTTCTTATATTTTTAATTAAAATTTTTACGTTTATCGAAAATTTGATTATGTTTACATGATATCTTTTAAATTTTTATTTTTATTAAAATATTGTTTAACTTTTAATCATGGTAAAAATTTCTTAAAACTTTGTAATTTTTAATATATACATACATTTCTCAAAAATAAGTTACATAAAAATTTAATTTTCATATCTGTCTTATATCTTTATCGCTATAAATATTAAAAGGAATGGCTCCTCATTTTTTATATGTAATTATAACACCTTAGCATTATTTTTAATGTAAAATTGTAATTTATTATTTCTAAAAAAATTTTTTTTTTAATTTTATTTTGGAGATTTTTATATATATTTATATAGAAAAACAATTTATTTTTCCTTTAATTAATTACATATATCAAATAAAAGTATTTACAATTTTAAATAAATATAGGATTACCCTATTGATAATATGTTTATATTAATATTAAGAAAAAAGTGTACAATTTTATAATAAAATGACAAAAAAAAAAAAAAAAAAAATAGTTTGATAAATAATAAATATATAAATAAAACTTAAAATCCTTTTTTATTGTAAATTCAATATATATATATATATCAAATATAATAAATGAAAAAATAAGAAAGAATCATAAGTTCATAAATATATTTTAAGTAATTTATATATAGAACTTAAATTAAAAAAAAAAAAAAATAGAATAAAATAACAAAAATAAAAATATAAAACATAAAATATAAAAAATTAAATATATAAAAGGAAAATAAAATATTGCATCAGTAATAATTTAACAACGCATAAAAATAATATAGATACATACTATAAACATTGAAAATTTTTATGTAAAAAAAAAAAAAAAAAAAGAAAATATATTTAAAAATGTTTTATTATTTCTTTTTTTTTTTTTAATCATATTAATAATTTTTTTAAAAATTTAAATACAAAAAAAAAAAAAAAAAAAAAGAAAAATCTTAAAAGCATCTATCAAAAATGATTTTATGTCCATAATCGAGATATTCCTTCTTAGATACCCATAATTGCTGAAATGTACCCAAACTAGCTAATATAGATCCTCCTAACCAAGAAGAATATTTGTTCTCTACTAGTGATGTCATATTTAATATTTTTAATTTAACAGATTGACTAAAACATTCTTTTTCTTTTAACGAATTAAATAACCGTTCAACTAGTCCCGGAAATAAAGAAGATCCACCTGTTAATATAACTGATTGCAACAAATCCTTTCTTATGTCAACATCCGTTGAAATGATACAATTAATTATGCTTTGAGGTAACCCTTTAAAATTATTTTCTAAAGGTACACTTTTAAACAAATTTTCAGCTATATCATATTTATATTTTTCTATATTAATTTTAAATCCATCAGGTAATTCAAAAAATTCCTCTTTTGGAGAATCATTCGTATCAGTATTATTTGTATCACCATTTTCATTTCCTTTTAAATTATTTATATTATTTTCTTTGCATTTTATATCATTTTCAACACGTATTTTACAAACACTTTCTTTCATGTATCTTATAATATCTAATATAGCTTCTTCTTTGTATGAACTATGAATGTTTTTATACATATCCTTATCGTTAAATTTCTGTCCACAAAAATATGGTATAATATTAATGTTATCTTTTTTTAATTTATTATATATTAACTTATCAAAATAATCACCACCTATATTATATTCTAATGAATTTTTTTGCAGAACATATCCTTCATAAACTGGATTTATATTTAATGAACTAAATCCAATGTCAATAACTAATGAATTCGATCTACCTAAACTAAAAGAAGTTAATTTTGCCTTTTTTGCAAAATATAATGCAGGAACATTATATTTTTCAAATAACAATTCTGTTATTTCTTCTCTTATTTTATTATTATGTATATTTGATTCTGATAATAAAATTGGGTGCTCATCAAATTTTAAATTTAGTCCACCTAATTTTATAGGATCTATTATTTCATCAGTGCACTCAAATATCCTCTTTACTTCCACTCCTTCAATAGAATATTCTAATATTCTTTCAAATACATCACTGTTTAATGTTACATTATTAGATTTATCACGATCAAATAAAGGTTTTATTCTTACATTCTCATTTCTGTTATATAAATTTAAAGGAAATTTTAATTTCTTAAAATTGTTCTTTTTTTCTAATTCATTTATATTTCTTTCACTCTCATAAATATTTTCTCCACATATGCTATTTAAAAATATTCTTGGAGTGTCTTCTTGATTATGTCCTATTTTTGAGGTATTAAATCCCAAATCAACTACAAGGGCCGATATGTCTTCACCTCCACATAAAACGTTTTCATTTGTTTCATTTTTTAAATTCATATTTTTTTTTTTTTTTTTTTTTTTACTTATTACAGCTATTCTGCTATATATTAAGTTATTGTTAATTTCTATACTTAACCTAGTTATTCATGAAAATGTACTGTAAATAATTTATTTTTACATATAATTCATTTACTTTCAAAAGTTTTTTATAATTTATAATAAAACATAATTTTTAGTTTTATTTGTACATTTAAAATATATTTAAACTTACTGTTTTAATTTTCATATAAAAAATATTGAAAAAAAAAAAAAAAAAAATTGGTCATATACTTTTTTCTTTAATTTTTTTTAATAATTTAACTTTTTTTTTTTTTTTATATTTGGACCTTATGCTTATTCTGAAGGAAAGGAAATAATACCAAAAAAATAATTTTAGAGAAATATAGAATTGTTAAAAAAAAAAATGAGAAATAATTTAATTAAAAATAAAAAAAAAGTGATATATATACATTTAAAAAAATATATGTTTATGAAATTAGATAATTATTTTTTTTCTTAATTTTTTTTTTGTGTTGATATGTATGTTTTTTTCATTTTTTACTTAAGATATAAGTTGTAAAAATATATGAATAATAAAATAAAATTTAAATTAAAAATGATATGAAAAATAAAGTATGTCATTTATAGAATAATGGTATTATTTTTTCTTTATAAAAATATTTAAAAAAATTTTCAATGAAATCAGAAATTTATATATGCTAGGTAGACATCAATATGTATATTAAACTAAAAAACGTAAAAAATAAGGAAAAAATTCTCTATCATTTTTTCAAAAGGTGAAAAATATAAGATTTATACTATTTTTTTTTTTTTTTCATTACACTTTTTTTTTTATATATACATGACATTCACCTGAAAACTATATATATATATATATATATATATATATATATATATTTTTTTTTTTTTTTTTGTTAAACTAAAAAGAACACTATGTCAAAAAATACTAAGAAATTAAAACTAACTATATTTTTAGAACTTCCCTTCTTTTTGAAGGAGAATTATTTTTACTGCACATGTTATATTTTAAATTTATTTTTAAAAAGTTACTTCTGTTTATCTATTATTTTATTTTTTTATAAAATTTAAAGATGAAGTTTTCAAGGAAACAAAAAATGATGAATATGGGTTTATTGTTGCACTCATATTTATTTACTTGCGAGTATTAATTAATGTTTATATGAATCGATATATTAGTATAAATTTCAATTGAAAACTTTTAACAAAAAAAATATTCACATATAAAATCACATTCCTATAAACTCCATTTACAAATGAGTAGTTTAACTTTCATTCTCAAATTGTCTATTTACATATTCTTTTAATTTATTTAAATATATCTCTACATATTAAAATATTTAAGAATTTTATATTCACCATAATATATTAAGTATGGATTTTTTTAAATTAAATAATTTTACTTTTTAAAAATTTTTAAATTAAAAACATTATATAATCATGATCAACAATCATAAAGGTAAAAAATATTATAACATATATAAGTGTATACGTAAAACTTTATTATAAAATCACAATATACATTAGAATTAATACACTTTTAAATTTCTACATGTGTATTATTATATTTATTTTCAATTAATATACTATTATTCAAGGTAAAATAAATCTTAATTTTTTTTAACTTTTTTACATTATAAAAGACAAAAGTAACTTATTTTGGTATTTAACTCTCATTATATTCTTTAATGAAACAAATATATTTAACTTTAAAAAATATTATGATTCAACTCTTAAACATTCATTTAAGAATTTTTCATAGCTTTTTTTTTTATGAAAATCCTTATTTGTATAACGGAAAAATGTTCATTAGCTAAAAATAACGTCCTTAAAAAAAAAAAAAAAAAAAAAAAAAAAAAAAATGTTAATAATTTTTATTTTTAATTTGTCTTTAATTTAGCTACATATTTATATAAATGCCTATTATAAGAATGTGTTGTATATAAATAAAAAAAAAAATATATATATATATAAATATAATGCATATTTGACCTAAACACATCCGAAAAAAAAAACGTCCAAGTTGACTTTTACAACATATAATTGTTTTTTTTTTGTTGTTTATAATTTATATGAATATCTTTAGAATAATTTTTATATATAAGATTATCTAAAATGAAATACATAAATATTAAAATAGTGGATGTTTGCATGATTACACATCAAAATATATTTTATATAAAAAGTTCTTTATAATAAAAAAATATTTTTGCACACGTCATAAATAGTAAAAAATAGAGTAAAACAAAATTCTCAAAAAAAAAAAAAATACCTTTATGTAGATATTTTCAGGTCTAAATATAATTAACAAAAATATTGAAATAACCGTATATTATTATGTGTGATATATTTTTAGACAAAACATGATTATCAGTTATTTATATTTACTAATTTTATCTCATTTATTTTTAATAAAAATAAAATAAAAAAGCAAAAAGTAAATAAAAAGTTTAATAAAATTTTACACAAGATAAAGTATATTTAATAAAATAATGAAAACAAATGAAAAACAATTACACTTTAATAAATCAAGTTCAGCATATTTTTTATCAAAAAAGAATATTTTCTCACCAAATGAAGAAAGTCATTCTATCAATGAAAAAGAGTTCCATGAACATCTTAAAGAGGAGAACATATATAAACAAAAAAATAACACAAAAAAAAATGAAGAGAAAAACATATTAAACCAAAATATTGGAGATAAAACTATGAATTTGAAAAACAAAAATAAAGAAAAAATTACAAATGAAAAAAGCAATAGAAAAGAGAAAAATACAAATCCAAAAAAAAAGGAAAGAGGAATAAATAACATTTCTAACAACAATACTGATAAAAAAGATAACTCTAGTATAAAAGTTTCATCGCCAAATATTCTTGAAAGCAATAAAAATAACTGTGATTATAATTTAACAAAAAAAAAAAACCTAAACAAAACTACAAACACAAAAAAGAATGTATTAAATAAATCTAAAACAGTGGAAAATAAGCTAAAAGCAAAAAGTAGTTTTAATAACGAAATAAAAAAAATTCATAATAGAAGTAGAACAAAGAGAGTTAAAAGTATTCAAAACATTGTAGATAATACAGAAATGGGGTATAAAACAACGCAATTTAAACTATCAGATTATTCAGAAAATGATAGCAATTTAGAAAATCTTTCCGTAGAATATGTGGTAGATAAAGAAGAAAAAATAAAAAATATAAAAGAAAAAACTTTACAAAAATATAATGATTTGATTGAAACATATACTAATAATATAAAAACATTAATTAATAGTAATTCTAACGACAATCTAAAAATAGAATTTAATAGAGAAACTATATTTAATTTCTTGAAAATAACATATAAATATTCAGATTATAACTATTCTGTTACTTGTGCAATACTTTTATTGTTAGATAGATTAAATAATCCTGAAATTGAATTGACAGAAAAGGAAAAAGAAGGTTTAGAAAATGCTTTAAGAGCATATAGTTACCATTCTATAATTTCATATAAATATACCTTTAAAGCCTATCATAAAAAGGATTCCATAATAGAACAAAAAGTAAATTCCAATCTACAATTAAAAAAAAATATATGTAAAAATATTAGACAGAAAATAAAAATCCATTTTCTTTTAAATTGTGAAATAATAATAAATCTTATAAATTGTATTTTGTATACAATAAATGAGGATCAAAATAAAATTTATTATATTTATTTAAATGGAAATCAATATAAAATAATATCAGATATAACTGAAACTGGTGTGAAATATAAATATGAACATTTAGCTCAAGAAGCGTATAAAAAAGCTTTAGATTTAGGAAAAAAATATATGCAGCCAACAGATGTAAATTACTTGAATTTAGCAAGTAGTTACATCTATTTTTTATATTTTATTTTAGGATATGAACAAAAGGCGTTAAATTTGTGCATAGATATATTTGACAAATCATCCAACTTACTAGATAAAATAGAAGATCACGAAAATGTAGATAAATGTTTACAATTATTAAGTAAAATGAGATATAATATAAAACGTTGGTCAAAGAAACTAAACAAAAATAGTATTTTATTTTTAACTTTTTAAAGAAAATAGTACGTTAAGCTTACCTCTTACTTTCATACATAAAATTTTTGTTTTCTTTTATTTTTCCTTTTTATTTTTTTTTTTTTTTGTATCACTTTTAATTACATGACTCTCTTTTAATGTAATAATTCATTTTGAAATATGTGATTTATATTATAATTTTTTTTTTTTTTTTTTTTTTTTTTTTTTTTTCATATTAAATGTATTAATGTTATATACATATATAATTACATAGAGTCTAAAACAAATTTATTATTTTTTTTTATTATTAATTTTTCTTTTCTCTATATCTCATAATATTAATGCTATTAAAATATGTATATAATACACATATGTATATACATATATATGAATGCTTTAATTTTTATTCAATAATTTTGATTTTTGTATAGTTCTTTTTTTCATTAATATTCTTAACATATTTATTATGTATACATATCTTTTAATATTTTATACACTATGTAAATACTCCATTATTGCTTGTACTTTTTATTTAAACTAAAATAATTACAAATTGAAGAAAATAATTTTTTTTTTTTGTTTTTTTTTCTTGTGACTTTTTCTATTTATAGTTATACATACGTTTATATGTTTTGTCTATATTTGTAGCTTATTCTTATTTTCAGCATATATGCTTATTTACCTATTTATTTTTTAAATGCATTTTATAAAAAAAATTACATTTTTGTATTTTCTCTTTTTTTAACATATAGAAAAACATAAAGAATAATAAAAAAAACTTTGAGCCATTAATGCTGATCTTTATATAAGTCTTTTAACAAATGTTTATAAAACTTAGTATGTCTTAATTTGCATCTTTACGAACTTAGGAAATATTATTTATAAATCTAATTATGCTTCTGAATAAATTAATATATTTATTAATTTAAAAAAAGAATAAAAAAGGTGTCATCTTCAAATAACATTCTTTTATAAAAACAAAAATGATAATTTCGACAAAAAAAAAAAAAAAATAAAAAAAAATAAAATAAAATAAAATAAAAATAAAACTTGATATTAAAATTTATTTAATTTTTTTTAATAAATATAAGTGGATATTTTAAATGGATAATTATACTTTAAGTGTTTCTATTTAAAAAAAAAAAAAAACACTGAAATATTAAATAATTAGACAGAACCTATATTTTTTTTACTTTATTCTTATTTATTTCATCATTTTATTCTTTATTTTGTTCACTAATTAATTCTTCATTATTTTCATCACTTAATTCATCATCTTTTTCATCATTTAATAATTCATCATCTTTTTCATCACTTAATTCATCATCTTTTTCATCGCTTAATTCTTCATCTTTTTCATCATTTAATTCATCATCTTTTTCATCACATAATTCATCATCTTTTTCATCGCTTAATTCATCATCTTTTTCATCGCTTAATTCATCATCTTTTTCATCACTTAATTCATCATCTTTTTCATCACTCAATTCTTCATTTTTTTCATCATTAAAATCTTCACTAATTTTATCAGTAACAATACAATTTTCTTTTGATTCTTTAGACAAATTTTTTTCATTGTTTTTGTTATATTCTTTACATTCCTTTAAATAATTATCTGGATTAACAAAATATGGAATTTTTCCTTTTATCCAATCATTTAAGATAATTTTTGAAGCAGATATTATATCAGGTTGACCTCCTTTTAAAAGTTTCCCCATTTTTTTTGCTAAAATTTCAAGAAATTCTTCTGAATTTTCAAAAGTCAAATCCTCTGATAGTTTATAAACTTTAAGTATATGAGATTTATTAACCATTTTAAAAATGTCATCAATATAAAAATGTGGATTAGTAATTTTTTCAATTCTCATTGTGCATCTTAAAATTTTATCTGAATCTTCAATATCATATGGTACAATTCCTGGACAATCTATTAAATAAACTTTGTTAGTCAATTTTATGAACTGCCAACATTTTGTTTGACCTGGTAGACAAGCAGAAACACAAACAACCTTTTTTTTTAATGAATTAATGATAGCACTTTTTCCTACATTTGGATAACCTATTAAACCAATATGAACATGTTTTTTTTTTTGTTGTTTAAAAAATTGAGTATACTGCCTAATAACATTAAATAAATCACTTTTTCCAAATGGTTTATTTATATTTGCATGATAAGCAATAGTTGGATATTCTTTTGAAAGAATTTTTATCCATTTTTCTGCTACTGATGTTGGTATTAAATCAATCTTATTGATTATTAATATAATATGTTTATTTGGCCTATCTTTTTTTAAACTTTCTTCTAATTTTTTACATCTAGTACCTATAGGATCACGTGCATCTAATACTTCTAAAATGATATCAGAACTATCCACAACTTTATATAACTCAGTCCATATTCTTTTTGATTGACCTATTTTTAATAAATGATCCTTACTATATTTTTTTTCTATTTCACTTTTTTTTTCAATTAGAGATCTATCATTTTTCGTTTCATAAGTAGATAATTTGTTATTAACATTATTTACAAATTCTTCTATACTAGATACATTTAACTTTGGCCTTTTTCTTTTTTTTTTTTTACTGAACACATCATCATAATTTTCTACTCTTAAAAAATTCTCATTTTTGTACTTCTTCGTTACACTATATTTTTCATCTTTTAACAATTCAACTGGAATTTTAGATCTTTTTATAATTATACTAAATGGATCATGAGTTGTCTCTTCTAATTTGTTTCGGAATATTTCTAATTTATTTTGACTTATTGTTCTCGTATTATTAAACCATTTTATATTGGGTTCTATTCTTCTTACCTCATTTATTTTCTTATTCATTTTTTTTAAATTCGCTTTTGTGCGATACATTTTTAATCTTTTTAATTTTTCTTCATTTCTACTTTTCCCATTCTCTTTATTTATTGAACGACCATCTGTTTTTACATTATTTACTGAACTTTTTCCAATTCTCAAGTTTTTCAATTTTAAATTTCCTTTTTTAATCATTTTTAAAAACCTGAATATATTTTAAATTATATACTAAAAATAGTTATGCATTCAAAAATAAATTAAAAAAATTTTAAAAAAAAATTTTTATAAGGCAAATTTTTTTCATTTTATTCAAGTTGTATGTAAAAAATATAAAATTTTCTACATAACAAAAGAATCAGTAATATTTATAATAAATTTACTTCATTTCTTTTTTTTTTTTTTTTATTATATCTTTTAATTTTATTATATTTATGTATTTCTTTTTTTTTTTTATATTTATTTTTTTCTGAAAGGCGTATTTACTTGTTATTTTTTTTTTTAAAAATATTTCAATCAAATTATAATAAAAAAAGTATATATACATATATAATTTTTATAATGTTTTAAATGCTCTTATATTTTGTTTTTTGGTTTTTAATATTTTTTATGTAGAGTGGATATATTAAATTTAAATAAATGTTTTGTTAAAATATACCATCTTTTTTTTTATTTAAAAGTTTATCAATATTTTCAAAATAATTTATTAATTTATGAAAAAATTTTTTTTTTTTTTTAATATTTTAAATAAAAATTTTAAATGTTTTTATATTATAGATAACAAATAAATACACTATTTTATATAATCTCTATATTAATTAAAAATTTTAAGATTAACATTTTTAGAAAAATAATATTTGATAAACTTATTTAAAAAAGGAAAAAAATAAGAAAAGTTATCTAATAAAGATATAATAGTATAGCTCTTTTATTTTTCTTTTTTTTTAAAAAAAAAAATAAATTTTAATTGCTATATAATTGTAATTAAACAAAATGATAAAAAAAATATTATTGTAATAGTGGTATAAAATATATTATCTATACAATTGAAAATTATATTTTTTTGTTCTACTTTATAAAAAAAAAAAATAATATCAAAATAAAATATCCTTAATAAATGAAAGAAAATACAAAATTTTCAAAATTAAAATTTAGTTCTTTTACAACATACTTATATTTAATTTTTATAGATTTAGATAAGAAAAATATCTATAATATGTATTCTGAATGTATATTTTATTATATATTTTTATATTTAATTCTTTTCAATTTTCTGAAGTTAAACCTTTTATATTACATTTTTAAAAATTCGCTCAATAAACTTATTCTTTCCTTTTAATTTTATTTTGATTTGTTACCATTGACATTTCTCTTCAACAATTTTGTGAAACCTAATATCTAAAATTCTTGCAAGTCTTAATATGAATTTAAATATATCTACTTAAAGTATTTTATTCCTCTTTATATTTCTTGTAAAAAGTATATTCTTAATTTTTTTTTTTTTTTTATAAAAAAGTTACTAGAAGGATAAATGTAATGTGTATAAGCTAATTGCTTTCATTATTACTTTTATTAGAATGTATTTATGAAATAATTTTTAAGAATTCATTAAAATTTACAATGGTATTTATAAATTTTGGAAATAAAATGTTATAGAATATTATAATCTATTAAAAATAAGAGAATTTAATAAAATAAAATGTACTATTTGTACATGCATAAATTTATATTTACCTATATTTAGAGAAGTTATTTTATTTATTTATTTATTTTTTTTTTTTTTATTCAAAACAAAGAAATATTAAAAACTAGTTTGACTAAATCTATACCAAAAATAAATCTAAAACAAAAAAAGCTACAAGTTAAAAATATATATAAATTTATCATAAATATAATAAAAAGGAAAAATTAAGTAGAACGCACACATATAATTTTAATTTTTTTTACAAATATTTAAAATGAAAATTGAAAAAAAAAAAAAAAAAATGCACTTCTAAAGCACGGATCTTATGTAATAGATTAGTTTTTCATTATAATTTTGTAAATTTGAAAAATGATTATTTATTAAATAAATGTGTAATATATATATATATAAAAGGAAGTTTTTTTATAATGGATATTTTTTCTAAATTATTAAAAGTATTAATTAAATAGAATGCTTCTATTTCTTATTATTTTTTCTAATTTTTTTTTATTTTTTCGTAAAAAATTAGAAAACAATATGAAACATTTTAAATGTTGTTTACATTAATATACCTTTTAAAGGAATAATTTCTTTGATTCTATTTTCTATTATTCTCTGTTTATTTTTAGTAATTTTGCATTATTAATTAATTAAAAAGAAAAATATTTTCTTTTAAACAAAAAAAAAAATAAATAAAATAAAGTTAATATATGCTATTCTTTTCATAAAGAAAAATTTATTTTTGTTTAAAATTATAAAAGGAATGTCTTTTGTTGTGTGTAATTTGTTTTTTGTAATATTAGAAAAAGAAATTATTATACTTTCATATATTTATAATGCAGATATTAAAAAGAGAAGAAAAATTTTAAAGTAAAATTATTATTATAGTTTATTTTCTAGAGATATTTTCTTTTCAAAAATAAAATAAAAAATATTAAATTATAAATAAAGTTTTTTCATGTGTAACTGTAGAGTTAATTTTTTTTTTTTTTTTTTTTTTTTTTTTTTTTTTTTTTTTTTTTTTTTTTGTATATATTTATACTTTTATGATTGTGATTTTCTTTTATAAAATAATACGTTTTATAAATTTTCTATATCTCTATTTTATTTTATTTTTTTTTTTATTTAATTATTAATAATAAAAACAAAAAATGGATAATTTAATTTTAAACACTTAATGTAATTTTTTTTTCTTTTTGTTTTTTTAAATTACATATGGCATACATTTTTATTATTTTTTTTTAATTAATACCAAAATATTATTTTTAGGATGTCAATATTTATATTTAGTGTTTAGTATTTTAAAAAAAAAAAAAAAAAAAAAAAAAAAAAATT